GGAAGGCTGAGGCGGAAGGATCGCCGGAGCCCAGCAGGTCGAGGCTGCGGTGGCCGGGAGCGGCCACTGCACTCCAGTCTGGGTGACAGAGTGACACTCCAACTCAAAAAAAGAGAAGAAAAAGACACACAGGCTGCTCACCTCACCCACTGCTGGGCAAAAATGGGAACCACTTGAACCCAAACAACCTCAAATGACAGATCCAAGGAACGGCCAGTGGAGAAATTAAAACACACACGCACACACATGCACAGACGGGTGAGGCAAAGGGCTCATGAGAGCCCTCACAACTCTTGAGAAAATTCTACCTACATATTCCTCCAAGCGAAGCCCTTCCCCTACATCCTTCAGGCTTCGGAAGTTGCTCTGTTTGGTTTGAACACTGTATTTTTATAGAATGTGATGAGATCTCCAGCCTCGCAAACCACACTACGAGAGAACTTTCAAAGGTCACTGAGGCTCAACCCAGCTCTTTGGCTGAGTAACACTTAACCCTTCCCACACCCACCTCCTGCTCCCAAAATAGAATCTCCCAGCTGGAAAGGACCTTAGGGTAGTGGATTTTCAAACGTCAAAACATCTAAAACTTTTTCAAAAAGCAAATGAAGTCATTCTCCGAACCCCCACAACATAAAATAGATCACATAGAGAGCCTTGGCTGGAACAGGGAAAGGACACTCAGAGTCTGCTCGCTCACCCTTCCAGGGGGCTGAGACACCTCCAGGGAGTACAGTCTGGAAACCCGACTACAGACAGGGGACCAAAGCCAGACAGGAAGGAGTCAAGGACCAGCCCCTGGGTCGCTCAGGGGTGCCTAATCCAGCCTCTTCCCTCCTGTTCCATAGAAGGAAATGTCACAGCTTCCTCCTCTTGAGGGCATGAATTAGTTGTCCACAAACTTTCAAGTCTGGCAGTTCTTCCTAACACCTTGCTTAAACCCTTCCTGCTAGTACTCACTCAAGTTGAGCAAATGTACACCTTACAGCCCTGTCAAAAGAAAGCGTGTGTATGTTCCCAAGAGGCATGCACCAGTTCCTTCTAGCATGCCCCAAACTGGACATCCCCCCATGGCCCATGATCAGAACAGATAAGTTGTTGCCCAGTCCCATGATGGGATTCTGCATACAGCACTGAGAACAAATGAGCTATAGGTATTCATGTCAACAAGGATGAACCTGACACACACACAACATCGCATGAAAGAAGGCCGGAATGGAAGGATGCACACCGGATGATGTCACTCATTTGAAGTTCAGACACAGGCAAAACGAACTTGGGGTGGGAGAGGTCAGGATGGGGTTTCCCTGGGAGTGACGGTGACTGGGAAGGGCCCAGGGGAGGTCCCGGGGGAAAAGGTCATGTTCTGTTTCTTGATCAGCTAGTGGTGACACAGGTGTGTCCACTTTGTGAAAATGCGCTTTCTGCATATGCATGTTAAGAATGCACAAATGTACTTTCTGCATATGCATGTTAAGAACGAAAAGTAACAGCAACCTCTGTGCCAGAAGCTGCACTCTTTCGGGCACTGTTATCACCCCACCAGGGCCCGGGACCATGGATGGGCCCTACCCTTTCCTTCACTTGGATTCCCCTCCCCAGTCCCAGGCTCCACAGAGCACCTCTCAGGAGGGCACAGGGAAGATCTTTTGCAGCAGGCCACCCGGAAACCTAGACCTATGCTCAATGGGGAAGGGAAAGAAAACAAAGTTTAAAACTTAGGCTGGGCGTGGTAGCTTACGCCGGTAATTCCAGCATTCTGGGAGGCTGAGACGGGAGGACTGCTTGAGGCCAGTAGTTCAAAACCAGCCTGGACAACATGGTGAGATTTCATCTCCACAACAAATTTAAAAAGTAGCCAGGGGTGGTGGGGTGCACCTTTAGTCCTTGCTACTAGGGAGGCTGAGGCAGGAGGACTGCCTGAGCCCAGGAGGCCAGGCCCATGATCATGCCACTGCACTCCGGCCTGGGCAACAGAGTGGGACCCAGACTCAAAACAAAACAAAACAAAAACCTAAAGGGCCAGGCTAGATAAACTCGTCCTTTTGATGAACAAGGAGTGGTTATGGGTTACACGGGCCTCTAACTCTACAGTTTGCAAAGCAGCCTCTCTCCCCTACCCCCATGGATCTCATCATCACCCAGGAGGTGGCAGGGAAGGGCCCTTCCCCAAGTTCACAGGCGAACACAGAGAAGCCCTGAGGGTCTCAGGGCTTCATTCAAGGGTCACCAGCTGGGACCTCTCCCTGGCAGGGCCAGCGCTGCTCTTCCACCGAGGCACCTCCAGGGGACATCACAGATAAGCAGAAGGATTAGGTTCCAGGCTAGTTACCCAAGCTTGGCAGACAGCGTGCACACCTGGAAGGCAGACAATTCGACTTCTAGAGAATTCAAAGATGACCTTTCTCCTTCCCTGACATGCTTTCATCCTCAAATACTCAAACAAAGTTGCACACATTTGTGGTCATTTCTTAATTGAGAGGCAGAGAACCGCAGTAAAAGAGCCCCGGGCTGTGGAGTTCTGCTGATCAAAGCTGTCCGGGGCTGCCCAGGTAAGAGCTTGGCACAGTGCCTGGTCCAGGGTTGACTATTCCCGTCACTCCAGCCCTAGCAGCCCACAGATCTCTCAGACAGAACCGGCATTCAGTACTTGGCCATCTTCCACATCCTGAGTCAGAGAATTACAGGGCTTTGGTGTCCCAGAGGCGGCTGCAGGTATAGGGGCCCCGGTTTCGTGCCCCGGGTCACTCCCTGCTGGGAAACATGAAGGTCAAGATCCCTACTCTGCTTACCTTGGTGGCGGTGTGAAGATTAAGTGTTCTTGGCAAAGAACGCTACAGACATGGAGGTTGCAGGTTGTCGCTATTGGTTTAATCCTAAACGTGTTTATTTAGAGTGGTGGCAAAAGACATGCTTGCCGCTGCTTGCAAGCAAGAGAGCAATTCTGTTGATTTCCTGCTCTGTGTGATATGGGGAAATCACAATCCCCACCTCTCAGGGTGGTTGAGGGGCTGCAGAGCATGGTGGGTATGAGCATACATGTGGGTCCGACTGCCAGGATATGAGTTCTGGCTCTGCCCCTTGTGCTGTGCAATTCAGAGCACCTGACTTCACTTCTCTGTGCCTCCATTTCTACATCTGTAAAATGAAAATAATAGTGCTTGGTTGGTAGCTGGCACACGATACCCATTACTGAAAGAATTAAACGAGACACTCCCTGAAAAGGACTTAGCACAGTGTCTCAAGTTGCTCAATAATTGTTAGTGTCTGGCATTCAATTAAGCCAATGTTGTCATTCGCTTGATTTTACATTTGTGTATCAGGAGCACATTTTAACCTTATCATTTCTGAGGAAGGGAAGCTTCCCGGCGTGATGGTTCCATAACTATGCAGAACAGCTGCAGACTTGTGAGTTCCTGCTGCAGTGGACTTGGTGAAGGCCTGTCCCATGATCAACAGCCATCAGTAAGGGGTGTGCTGTAAGCTGGCCTCCTTGAGAGGACAGTCATTCTGAGCTAGAAAACTAGAATCATTCTGCTTCTTTGCAAGCAACACATAGCAAACCATCCTGAGATCTGCCTCTATTCCACCCAGCCCCAGGACACATTACACCAAAGCCATCCTGGAGAATGGTCTCTGCAGTGGCAGTCTTCTGCCCTGAGCCTCTGCCACCCTCCCTCCCACAAGGAAGTCCCCCCGTGGGGCTGATCCCATTTCTTCATGCTGTAGGAAAGGCTCTTTCTAGAAAAGGAAGAAGTACGCCGGGCTCGGTGGCTCAGCCTGTAATCCCGCGCTTTGGGAGGCTGAGGTGAGTGGACTGCCTGAGCCCGCGGGTTCAAGACCCGCCTGGGCAACTTGGCGAGACCTCATCTCTACAATAAATCAAAATATTAGCCGGGCTTGGTAGCGCGTGCCTGTAGTTCCAGCTACTTGGAAGGCTGAG